ACGCGCCCATGGGGTGGGGGGCTTCTAACCTCATTAATATGCATAGCTGCTATATCTCAAGCACTGTTGCAGTTAGGAAGATGATTCCTGTGTTATCATGACAACAGTGAACAAGCAATTTCATTAAAATAACAGATTACCATATATGGTCATGTGAACTCATTAATATGCATAACTGTTATATCTCAAGCACTGTTGCAGGTAGGAATATGATTCCTGTGTTATCATGACAACAGTGAACCTGAGATTTGATTAAAATAACATATGACCATATATGGTCATGTGAACTCATTAATATGCATAACTGTCATATCTCAAGCACTGTTGCAGGTAGGATGAAACCTGTGTTATTATGATGATGTTAAACAAGAGATTTGAATAAAATAACAGATGACCATATATGGTCATGTGAGCTCATTAATATGCATAATCGTTGTATCTCAAACACTGTTGCAGTCAGGGTTGCAGTTAGGAAGATGAATCCTGTGTTATCATGACTATGTTGAACAAGAGATTTGATTAAAATGACCATATATTAATAACCTTTATATCTCAAATAAATATATGGAACCAACTGCATTTCGACCTCATGGTACTAATCATTCAAACTAATTGTGTATCATGTGTATCATTTGACATTATTTATGGCATGTATACTTGGGCCCCTGTGATGCTGCTTGCAGCTTTAATTGTTTTTCTTTTCACAGGCTGTTGTATTTATGAAAAGCCAAGAATGTTTGGTGAAAGTTCTAGTGAAGACGAAGATGACGATTGCGAGCATTGTCATGGACACCGTAAGAGCGACCCAAAACACCAAAGCCCTGACTCAAAATCCCAAGATGCATCACAGTCATAGTAGTGCCTAGTTTACATATATCTTACAGTGTGTAGTTTTGATGTTTTATGAGTGTTTGTTCGACTGTTTGTTTTATTAAACAGGATTTCTTGATTTGAAAAATTGTAAATATATTATTTACAGGTTTCTGATTGATTCATTGATCAAGAATGTTGAATGTTGATATCATCTTTAATAACAGCCAAAAATGGCAATAGAGTTTAAGTGATGGGATTTCATTTTTATCACGTGCTGATAGCGCTTCTGTGTCTGAAGTAAACAAAGGAGAGTGTTTGAAAGTAATGTAAATGTACTTTTGAACACTTCCCATTTCTATTGGATACCTCGCGACAATATTCATATTTTCATACACTGGTAGTTTTCTGTTAACACATTGCCAGCTGATTGTTTCCCATTCATTCTGGCTATATACAAGTTAAAAAAAATTTATACTGAAAATGTTGCTACCATATTTGCTTTACCTCAAATAATAACATAGAACTTATTTTGAATATACTCACAATTCTGTCATTTACAAAAATGCATGCATTACTAATAAAGAAAATATGGTATTCATTTTGTTGTGCTTCATGTCATTAGACCACCATGGAGTGAAATGTACAATTGTTTTGAGGATTGACTTAAATTTCCTACATGCATGGCGGTATGTACATTAGGTGTCACATCTACGTGCACAGACTGAAAAACAATGTGCACAGTATGTCTGTCGACACACAAATTTGTGTTTTGCAAAGCACTAAATAACGAACAACTATTTATTGCCTAATTATTATTTAACGTGTACAGATTGGAGGGGGGGGTCAGTCTTGTTACCTAAGAATAATGTACTGTATTTACACTATTAGAAGCACGCTCCAC